GGGGGAAACAAATAATAAAATGTTTGATGCATAGCAAAAGTAGAACTTGTCAGAAATATATACGCGCACTAGAAGAATACAGGTTGATAATTGCAATCATATAGAATAGCATCAATAAATCATCTTTACTGCAGCATTCAGAAGATTGTGTTGCAATTCAATGTTATAACTAGGCATGTTAAGAGATGTTCTAATGGGGAAGCTGATTGTTTAGCTAAATCGGGCATAGGCTAGTGTGAGGTGAGATTCTTTGGTTCGGTGAGATGGGTGTATGTTTTGCGTGTTTTAATGGGGGACTTTGTTTTGTATCTGGTTTGTTTTTGGATGTACACCTTTTATTATGCAATAAAATTTGGGGTACTCTTTTCCTCTTCCAATGACTGTTGAGTTTTTCGCAACTTGATAGTTATGAAGGGGTTTTTTAATTTTTAGTGAGGCCCTTTTCTTATTAAAAAAAAAATCTTTACTGCAGCATTATGTCCAACACTGATCATCAGATTCACCATGACCTTATAACTATGCTGATGCTTCTTTCTCAACTTTTACTAAGGCAAATATTTGATATAAAAGGCATAATTGCTTTCTTCGTTCTCATCTTGCAGCAGCTCCTTGTGTTATGCTTTTATGGATAAAACTCTTGCTGCAGTATTACCCAGTCTATATTTGTCTTATTTTAAATTTGTTGAACAGTTCTAATTCTGCAGTCACATCATGTTGGTTTCAGGCATTAGAGAGTGTTGAAGAAGCTCTGAAAAGACTAGAAAACTTGCTTCAAGAGTTGCACGTTTCAAGTTCTTACTCTGGGAAAGAGCAATTACAGGCAGCTTGTTCCGACCTTGAGAAAATAAGGAAACTAAAGAAAGAGGCTGAATTTTTGGAGGCATCTTTCAGAGTAAAAGAAGCTTTTCTTCTCCAGGTTTTCTTCCTACCCCAACTTCACTATGAAATTAGTGTCATAATGGCAAAATGGCACTGGCTTTTCAGTGCAACATGTAGAAGATAAATTTTTGCCTTTTGCTTCAACAAAAGTGCACTTGGTGTTAAAATTAGATAACAATGGAAATAGAAGAATGAGAAAAGAATTGTAATTTTCACTTTTTAGTTTCATTGACAATCGAATACAACCTTTTATAGCCTACAAGAGTGCTAAACTATTTTGGAATATTAGCATAAACTACGAAAGTCTAAGTCACAAAGGAATCAGAATTGATTTCAGTATTTACAGCTTGCATTGACTTGGTAGGAAATTATTCCTTAATCCATTGCCAGATTTTCAGGGACATGTGTTCCTAAATATCCGGGTCAAAAAATCTTCCAGATTCTGTCAAGACTTGGGACATGACCAAGGAAATTGATATCAAAGATTTTTTTTAATAGTCTGGGGTGATTACAAGTTAGTATCTATTCAAAACTTTCTTAACCAATTGACAACGCACTGAGGGCTGAGGCCACTTGATGGGTTCGATATCAAAGAAATTTTTTTGCTAGGTGTATTTGCAAATTAATATAATTAATTTCATGGTGTTAGTTGCTGATCGGCGCTACATTAATCACAGACTACCTGAGTGGCTTTTACTTGTTTTTGGTACATTTCAGGGTTGGTTTGCAACAATATAAATAGTTTAGTTCAAATTGAAATTATGCCCCCCTCCCTGCCAGAATTGGGTGTTTTAGTTTCTTTACATGGCAGTCCATGCCTTGATCTTGTATCTTACACATTATAAAAAATGTTTTTGAGCTTAGTTCAAATTATGTAAATTCAATACTTTAATTCAGGAAGCTGGTGATGATACTTCCCAGTCCTCTTCTAGTGAGCAGCAAGAATATCCAAAGACAAAAACCAGAAAGAGTGCTAGTTTAACAAATGATAGAAGCAACAGGTAGCAACTTCAGCTGTAGACTATATAGTTTTGCCTGCTTTCATGAAACTTATTGTTAATGCTAGTTCAACCATACTCTGCCTCTTTATTTTATTTATGTCTCTTTCATTAGAGTTAATGAATCTCGTGGATTATGGAGCTTCTTACACCCTTCATCCAGGAAGCCTGTTGCGGAGTTATCAGCTATAGAGAAATCGGTATAATCTGTCTACACAAGTAGCATTTTACACTTGTTGGCCGTGCATTTGTTCATTTTAGTATCAAATTTGCACTTTAACTATTCTCCTGTTGGTCCATAATCTATATCACCACCAGTGTTCTGGCCTTAAGCTCTAGTTTCAAAGGATTTGAGAACCGGACCTTTTAACACTGGAGATACACTGTTGAGATGTTGGAGTAGTTGCTAAGTAATGCCTGGTTTCAACTTCTGTCAAAATATTATAAATCCGCGACATGTTCATCAAGCTTAAGTTGTTTGTATATCTGTACGGAAGGTTGTACATGAGCATTGGTTGAAACTTGAAGGTTAGAGGACAGTGAAGAACCTCACAAGAAATCTGTCATCCAATAATTATGTTAAGAAGCAACACTTTCTTGGATACACCATCAAATATATACTATGTTATAAAATTCTAAGTTTGATAATATATTCAAGGAGCTAGAGCATATTGTATGGTGTTGGAAATCTCTGTATACTTTATTTAAACGGAAGCTAATCACAATTTTGTTGCATCCAGGGAAATGAATTTATTGAGCAGAATGCATCAAATGCCAATAATGTCGATTCAGAACCAAATGAAGTCTGCCGCTTTGAACAACTAAGGAATGAACTAATTGAGCTTGAGAAACGTGTTAAAAGAACTGCTGATCAGTCAGCATTTGAGGAGGTAAGCACAGTCTATTATCAGGTATAATTGTGTAGTTTCATCACAAAAGAGGCCATCCATTAGAAGAATGAGAAACATAATGATTTAATTTGCATGGTTTAATTTGCTTTACCATTTTCAAATTTGTTCAGGATGTTAAGGTTACAGTTGATCGTCGTGGTTCTATTGATGATGTTGGACATGCTCAATTGGTTGAGGTTGAGGTTGAGAAGAAAGGAAGTTTTATTGAAAAATCATTAGAGAAAATAAAAGAAACAAGCATGGTATGAGTCTCTTGAGGATGTCTATAAATAAACTAATGTTTGTATAATTAGCATTCAGTGATCAATCTAGCTTTGATTTATGTGTTCTTCCAATGTTTGGGCAAAAGAAGTCCTTATTTTCAGTGACTAATTATTTTTCTCATTTTAGAATTTAGTTCGACTAATTAAAACCTGTTTTTCATAGACCTTGAGAAAACTTTTCTAAATGGCCCATGATAGGGGTTGTAAGATTGGTTAAAGGCCAGAGGAACTTCTGCAATTTAAAGTCTAAATATGGTTTATTTTCTATATAACAGCAATTGGTAAGTTATAAATCGTATAGTCTCCCGATGCCTTTGGAATATGCTTAGCTCTTATTTTATCAAAAACTTAAGCTATATTGCCTGTTCTGTATCTGGTCTCGTTTGATTATTCTACATCCTAAAACCTCTTTATTTAGAAGTAGCAAGGGTGCTTACTTCTTTCCATATCCCTTATATGTACACTGACATGTTTGATATGGGTATGTGAAACATGTTGAAGTAGGTTATACAACATGCAAAATAAATTTTGGATTGCTAATATATTCTTTCCCTTTTTCATGAAACCTGAGAAGAATTATGATCCTAGATTTTTAAGATTTCTATCGATTGTTTCAGATTCTCTCCATCTATATTTTGTGTGGTCTGCCTATTTTATGGTGTATACAATCATCACTTCAAGAAGTTGTCTATAGTTTTCTCATGAATACTGTCATCTGTGTTATTTACCAATAAACAGGATGTCATGCAAGGAACCCAGCTTCTAGCTATTGATGTTGCTGCTGCAACAGAGTTGCTTAGAAGGGCCCTGATTGGGGATGAATTAGCAGAAAAAGAAAAGAAAGCCCTTCGGAGAACTCTAACTGACTTGGCATCAGTCATTCCTATTAGTATTTTGATGCTTCTTCCTGTAAGTTAAAATAATAAATCATTCTGACAAATCTGTCTCTGTCAACACATTGCTGATTGATCATTTTTTGTTTTCTTGTGCACATAACAAATCTATCATGGGACTTCCACTTAAAATCATCAACCTTGGATCGATAAAAAAAAAAAAAGCAACACTTTTGCTAGTAATATGACCACATGAGTTTTTGGTTGAAAATTAATTTCAGAGAGAATACTCTTCCTATAATTTTATCTGGAAGTATTTGTTCATGTAAGGTATCTTTAACACCTACAAATTTTCTCTAAAGTAAGTTTGTCTCTTCCTTTTCCCCCTAATTATCCAAAACAATGAATCATAGCATAAACATCTAGCATGCTGGGTATATCAAACAATTGATGTTGAGCGAACCTTAAATTATTAGAGAATTAAGAAAGAATACTTCTATACCTCTACATGACTAGAACAAATTTACAGATTGTATGCTATCTTTCTAGTCATCTTTTATTTGCAATTCAATTTATCATTTATGATGGAAAAATTATGCCTATAGGTTACTGCTGTTGGGCATGCAGCCATGTTGGCTGCCATTCAAAGATATGTGCCAGCGCTGGTGTGTCATCTCTCTTGTTTGCCTTACTTCAAATATTGAATCTCTAGTTCTCAATGGCTAACAATCTGTTTCATGGCAGATACCATCCACATATGGACCTGAACGTTTAGACCTTTTGAGGCAGCTTGAGAAAGTGAAGGAAATGGAAGCAAGTGAAATTGATCCTGAAGAAAATGTGGAGGGCATAGCCTGAATACCTATGGATGCCTTGTATAGCCTTTAAAAGTAAAACAATACTCTTCATATAGAGTAACAATTGGTTTGCTTTTCTGTTTAAGATCCTGAATACTCCTTGTTTTGCCTTTTCTTCATTAATTGCAAAAATTGCTAAAAACAAATGTAAACCAAACAGAACCTAAGAAATGCCTTAGGTAGGCTTGTAGCCCATGAAGAAGAAAAAAATCGTACTTCACTATTTTCCTTTTGCAATGAGAATGAGACATTCTTATGAATCTGCTTGTCTGAAATACTTCGTGCAATTTGTTTTGCGAAAGCAGATTGCTGGACTCTGCTTTTATTTATTTATTTCTAGAAAGTCTTGTATGTGGATGACATTTGTGTCGGATTTGCAGTAGCAAATGTCTGATGTACATTGCATGGGATAGAGAGGAAAAAGATGTTTGAAAATGACTTGCATGTTATAAATGGCTGCATGGAAATGGGTGCTCTAGCTATGTTACTCAGATTCGGGTGTGAGTGTCGAATATAGGTATAGTTACACTTTTTCAAGTTTTTCCATGTAGGATCTTTGGACATCTCATTCTCATTTCATGTCTTGGACACAAGTGTTAGACACGGGTACTTCAAGAAAAATTAAAGACTCAGAGCAATATAGCTCTAGAATTAGATATTGGTAAGTTGAAATTCTAGTTTAGCTTGCACTAATGATGGGATAATATTACTGTGTGATACAAGTTCTTATTTCTTAGAACTTTGTGGAAGAGATGTCAAGTGATACATTGGTACGGCCATTGTTCACCAGTTGTTGCCTGATGAATTTTTTTACTTTGAAAGCTTCAAAGCTCATGAGTATTGCTTGTATGTCTTCAGTAGGAAAATTTTACGGGAGTCATCTGGAACATTATTTATTTCCTCAATGGCAATGACATGTTATCGACTTCACGATCAATTTTACTTGCAGACCGTGGGCATTCTGGTTCTGGTTCTAGACAAACATTTGTTACAAAGGTATGTTTTCTAATTTTGGCGTTTTTATTATATTTTAAGACAACAATTTCCACCGTACAATTGTTTTTCTTCTAAATTCTTTCGATTTCAAGCTGATATCAATGTTGCTTTCATTGCACTATTGATTTCATTTTGTTCCTTAGGGCTTTAAGTAAGGGAAAATTTGGATGTTATTCTGAGGCAGATGTAAACTGAGTTGAACATGAAATATACTTGGCTCCAAAAGGACGTATGATAAGGAGAAAAAGCAAAATGGGACAAATATTCTCATGTTCTTACTATATCTATACTGTGCTTGCAGTGAAATATTATTGCTGGAAAAACCCATTATGCAGGTGCCCCTTCTATCTCTTGATTGGCCGTGAACAATATCTTGTGTTCCTCCCGCTTACAGAGCCACTAAAACTTCATACGCCATTTCCAGTGGTGGTCAATTGGTAACTTTCTCTTTTGAATCCTTATTGGCCCTAATAACCAGTTGACACTTTATCTGATTAGTCATATAAGGAATGCAATGATATCTGTGTATCTTGTTACCAAATCCCTCTACCTGTATTAATATCTCTAGTTTACCTGGAAGGTCTTTCAAACATATGCGTGCAAGCTTGAACCCTGTAGCTATTATTCCAAACATCAGCTTGCTTTGAATTGTTTGTTTACATTAGTACATAATTAAGAATATCTATTAGATGATTTGATTCAATGCTTAAGCACAAGTGGCCTATAGCTTACGTCCTACCAGCTTGTGGGTTAAGGTGGCTTAAGATATTGATGTTGATATGTGATTTGTTCTTAGTTATACATATTCCCCGACTGAACAAGACATGTTTAGTCATAAATTTTAGGTTAATTGCCCAGATGACCCCAACTATGGGTTAAATTTTAAAATTTGTCCCAAATAGACGTCTGGTGCAATTAACAGTAAGTTTACTAAAAAAGCACACACACATCTTGTAGACGTAGTTGTTTGAATCATTGTCTCTATCATCAATTCAGATATGAAACTGGAGACTGATGCAAACTGGCACATTAATATAGGGTTCTGAAGATGGAACCCTATGTTTACCCTTATTTTACTGCTTGGATATCCTTGGTGAATTCATATTTAATATCACTTCAACATTGCAGGATGGCAATCTTTGCATTATCTAATTCAGGGGACCACTTTGTTTATATATCTTCCACTGTTTGATCTGTTTCAGGGCCATTCTTCTCATCCTTCTGGACAGCGACCAGATTTACAAACAATGGAGCGGTAAAAAAGCAAACCAAATATCAAAGACGACCGAATGGTACCTCAGCAGTTCATTTCATTTCCTTTTTAATGGAATCAGCAGTTCGGTTCATCGGTTTTTAATTTTACATATAATGAATTAAATATTCATTTTCTATCATGACGTTTACGAATAGAGCAAACTAAGTTGGAAGTGTCACCTTTGTCCTACAGTATTTGATTCAAATTAATCGATTAATAAATCAAATATTGGTGGTTATACCAAAATATCTATTTTCTCATCTTTGAGAAAAATAAAATAAATAAATAAATAAATAAATATATATATATATATATTTCGTTTACGTTTTGATCTTTCAAGTGATGGGCTCCATTAAGTCAAATGACATCTTCATATATATTCTCCTTGATCTTCTCACCTTTATCCTGTAAAAATCATAAATATGGAAAAGAACTTATATAAACAAAATACTATACGAAACTACGTTGTAATCATCGATGCTTGTATTGGAGCAGCTATTTCTGCAGCAAATTTAGAATCATGTGCCTAACTGTTATGACAATACCTGCCTCCCCTGTTGACCTTCAATTATTTGGACGGCATTTTAATCATTGCAAATCTCCATCAATTTCAACACCTAATTTTTTAATTGGCTTCCATTTGCAACAATATTTTTTTACTTTGATTTTTTAAAAGTATTATATGAGATGGTAACGTTTATTCCATGTATTATTTTGATATTTTTTCAATTTAAATTTATATGATATTTTATAATATCGATGGTGTAGATAAAAATATTCTATATAAAATTATAATGATAAAAAAATATTTAATAAATTATTATAGGAGTGATAAAGAGCTTGAGTTTGATTCTTAGATATGTGATTCTTTAATTACTTTATTTGAGATTATATAAATGTATAGAACAAAAAAATCATCATAATAATAATATTTATTATCTAACGTAAAAATAAATATTTTAAGATTTTTAAACTAAATTGATGACTATTTTATTTGTAACACATCATAACCAGAAATATTATATATAGAACAGATATATATTAATTAAAATTTAAAATAAAGTAATTATTATTTTAAAAAATAAATTAATGGTTTTGAAGTTGTATTAATCGATATTGATGTTTTTTTTTTGAAAAAAAAAATGGCTAGGCCCAAATAAACCATGACGAACTTAATCACGCTTTATTAACTAAACTAGTGGAATTAGGGCAGGTGCTAACTGTTCGACCTCACTAATCATGGTTTTTGTTAATCTGTCTCATTAGATGCAGCAAATCAAATTAAGCAAACAGCTCCAAACTCAATATTTTACTCAATTAATTAATCTTAAGATTAATTAATTGTTCTAAGTCTAAGCGTATAACAGTGAATCGGTGATGATGCCGACGATGAAATAGCCTACGAGAACATGTGCATTGCTTACCGAGTTGGCGTCCAGTTTTGAAGTTTAGGAGTGAGAGTAAAACAGGTGGGTGGACTGACATTGACTTGACACCGACGAGCTTTCTGGCGTGGATGGTTCGGAGACATCGAGTTGGCACTCAACGTCCACCCCGAATAGCCGTAGCAGCCTCTTTGGGTTCCCATCTGCTCAATAGCATTTGATAAATTACCATATATTAATATATTTTAAATAAAAAATTGATTCATATAATTATAAGTTATATTTATTAGATTTAAGTTTAAGTTCGAGCGTAACCTTGTATCTTATATCAAAAGTTTTATTATCCCATTCAAATTTCAAATTTCATATATGATATTAATAAAACAAATATATTATTAATTTTCAAATGTATTCACAATAAAATTTATATTTTATATATTTATTTATAATAAATTTTAAAATATAATGATATGAATTATTTATTTTTATATTTATTTTTTATCATATATCATCTATCATCTATCTAATTTTAATAATTAATATATTAACTATAAATTTTTATAAGTATAAAATAATTAAGTACTGAATAATACATTGCTCCCATATAGTTGGAATGTGTCCTCACACACTTCAATGTGAAAAAAAATTAAATTTTATTGACAAAAAATAAACTCCGAATTTTACAATGATCTCAGTATATATTCATGAAAAAGGATAAGAGTTTACGATGTGACAAAAAAATATATCTAATGTATATAACATACCTGCATGAAGACAGCCGGGTTGGTATGGTACATGAGCCTCAAGATAAGGATGGCCTAATCCCCAAGTACCCCACCGCTCATTGCCACCGGCACTGCCGCCATCCTCCTCCGCTGCAGCACTGCGCCTGTTCCACCCTATAAATAACCGACCAAAATCCGGACGGTGTCGTTGAAACAAAACAATGTCACCAGCATGGAGTTTCTTCTCTTTGACGTATCTGCTCCAGCCTTTGGTCAACACGTAGCTTTGGCTACTGTTCCAGTAGGAGTAACGGAAGCTCCAACGCTTGCACGACTCGTCCTCGAAACTCATTAGCAACCCACCCGAGTCACCGCCGCCGAGTGGGAAGTACTTCTCCGCGTGGTTTTTGGGGATAACAAGCCGGTTCAGCTTGCCGACGTCGCTCGGTGTTAAGGGTTTCTGGAACAGCGGCTCCCATTCGTCGTCGAAAACTGGGTTTTGGGGGTTTTCAAGATAGAAATGAGAGGAGCTTTGTATTGGTTCCATTGAAGACTCTTTGGTTTTGCTTTGAGAGAGTGGGTTATGTAGTACAAGAGAGACTGTATGTAGACACAAATGAGAAAATTGTGTTCGATTTGGAGACTATTTGAGGCAGCTAAAGATATGGCAACCAGAGATAAATAAGCAACTTTTTTTTTTTAATCCAAGTGAGTCCATTCCATTCATAGATGAAAAAACAGAAATATTACAACAGATAAGGGTCTAAATACAACCGGGCTCAAAAGAGGCCCAACGCTATAAACTAAAATCCTTTTAGTTTTCTTATCACCGTTGATGGATGTTTATAAAATATACAGAGAACAAGTGTAAATTCATTCAAATTTAATGAATCAAAATCAAAATTTAACTTAAAATATTAAAATCCACACTTTGCTCTTCTAATTAACACCATTAATCTCAAGTTTCAAGTAAGGTATAGAAACCCCTCAACTTAAAAAATTAGAACAGATTAATGCATGTGTTATTTCTAATTTAAACTATGTTTTGATGGTTAAAAACATTATTAATCTGTATATTTTACTTTAAAAATTAGATAAGATTCATAACATGACATGTTTATTCTTTGTTTAAAGTCAATAAACTATGCTAAGATTGTCATGTATTATTTTGTTTTTGTCTTGACTACCTCACTAAACTTCTCGAAGTTCACTCTACTTATTTTATTATTTCACATGATTTCTTTCATGTTAGGTTGCTTCATAATGTATTTTAAGATTCATTAGTCAATTCCCGACTATTTCGGTGTTAATTTCGTTTTTTTCTAAACTTCTAAGATGGAGTCATATAAATATAATTATTTTGAGTACTATCTTATGATTACAAAGTATTTTTAGATTATCGTATTACGTTGCTAAGCATTTCTATGGATTGGGATAGTATCATAAGTTTATGTTTGTGTATATGAACCATATGTGTTTGATATAAGTCATTTTACGTAAACGGTCTAATTAGCAGCATGTTTTAGGTTTCAAAACGAGTAATGGTTAGGGAAATGCATGATGATGGATAGATTGGAAGCTTAAACTAAGGGAATTCATGCATACATTTGGTAATATCTTAAATTAACCTAAAATGTTAAGTTTGAATAATATTTAACTTATATAATGATTAATTAGAAGTATATCTTCTTGTTTGTGGTTGAAGATCTAGTTATGTTTGATGTATAATAGATGATTAAGTTTATCAATTTTAGTTGTTTGATGTTTAATATATATTTTAGGGTTTCTTGAAGTTTAATATAATCGATTTTAAAAATATATATATATATAATAGCGAGTTTTAAAATTTAGAAGTAAAATTTTGAAACTTTCATTTTATAAGGTTTACGAATTTCCAAATTTCATAGAAATTTTGATATTTCTATTTCAAAAAGTTTAGAGATTTCGGGACTTCACATTAAATTTTGATATTCAAAGAGTGAGTTTTGAAACTCATTTACCCATACAAAGAATATTTATATTTTAATTAATAAACTCAAAATAGTAAATAAAAATATACCTATACTAATAGGTATTAATACTGAAATAAAGTAATACGTGCATTAATACATTTGGGACAAGCATGGCAAAAGATGACATTTAGACATTTCTATAGACGAATCAGAGTTTTATGTTATAACGATGAATTTATAAAAATTTAAGACTATATAAATCTATAAATTTAAAAGGAGTGAAAATAATTTTTTTAATAAAAATATTTAAAATATATAAATTTTTAAAATTTATAAGGGATGATATATCCTTAGACATTTCATAATTATGTCACCTGATAAATATGTCGAGGGGATTTAGTATGAGTGGTCAAATCCCATCACATTTCATTAAATATTTGATGAGAATCTTAACCACGTGTACTTATTAGATTCGATCACTTCATAATCTTAATTTCAACGTGGAAAATACATTGTCCTTACATTTGTCCGTACGAATCACTCCAATTCATTTTTTTAATTAGTGCTGAAAATCTTAATTTAAGTTTAAATTAAAAATAATTAATTAAGTATCGGGTCAAATATATATTTCTTATTTTTTAATTAAATATATTTAATCATATAATTATGAATCCCGCATAATATTTCATTAACTATTTCCTATAAAAGTGAAAAGAGAAAATCGTAAATTATTAAAGAAATGTATTTATGATAGAATTAAATCTTGAGATAAACTTTCAAAAAGCGACAATAAAAAAATATATATAAATTTACATATTACCCATTAAAAATAAAGGTGATAGAATTTAAATTTCACTTTATAAATTTAAATTCTTAAATCTCAACCACTTATATTAAAACTTACCGATGGAATATACATTTTTATTATATTACACGTAATAATTTACTTTCAACATCAAAACTGCATTCACTTGTACGGTTCAAATTTTCACCCTAATGATCCCACAAAAAATATTAAAAAATGTAACCAGAATCTATAAAATATTGAGAGTCCTCTACGAAATTAAATGCATTAAATGACTAAATTTATTGATTTGGTGATTCATAATTAGACTTTAAAACTTGAACATCTAAAAATATTTATGTTCACAATTGGATAATTCACAGGAGAATTAACTGATTCTAAATGAAATAAATTCTTTGACAATGGAATATTTATGTTAGGATACCAAATTACCAACCCAGTTTACTATTAACAAGTTATTTTTATTATTATTTATATATCCCGTGATTAAATTAAAATAATATAAAATTTAATTAATAACCCAATATAGCCACTTCTTAAACTTTGTGAATGAAAATAGGCAATATATTATATCATAATTTTTTATTAATTCAATGAAACTTTTTCAGCAAAAACTTTAGTATGAAATCTTGGTGATGTTGCCATTAATATATTATTTGTGGGTGTTATTCAATTTTAGTTATCTGAGTTTCTGTTGGGAAATTTAAATTGGGTTTAGCTGCTTTTCTTTTATTTGATTGGTTGCCATTAAATTTCTTTGTTGTTTGAAATTAAATTCTTAGTTGACCTTTTATGTTTGGTTTCCAAGAAAATTAAAGAAATCTGGGTTTTTAACCATAAAAGCTTTGAATGTTCTTAACAAGTAATAAACATTTGCTGGCCTCAATTTAGACTCTTCCACCAATCCCTCAATTTCATTAAATTAAGCTCTAACGACCCATTTCTCTCCCCCAATTACTTCCCTTATATGTATCTGCTCTTTCTCCTTCGAACCCATCACCAATCTAAGCTTCCTTTACCTTTAAGTTGAAGGTATCCATCCTTTTATCTGTTTTTCTTCTTCAATATATATATTTCTGTGTATGTACATTGAACTGAATTCTTTTGTTTCTTTGTGGTAGTTTTTTCAGGTTAATTGAATTATATACAAAAGATGAGTCGAAGAAATGGTCCCAAGCTCGAGCTGAAGCTGAACCTATCGCCACCGAGACTTAATCCAAGAGTGGAATCACCGAGCCGAGAGGCGACAGTGTCGCCGACATCTTCTCCGAGTTCATGTGTGTCTTCGCACGATGTCGACATGACCGATGCCGTCGGATATGCAAGCAGCCCCGATGCTACGTCGTCTCCGATGGTTCTCGTAGGTTGTCCGAGGTGCTTTATGTACGTGATGCTTTCGGAGAATGACCCGAAATGCCCCAAATGCAAGAGCACCGTTTTGCTTGATTTCCTCCATGATACTGCAACAACCGCCAACGTTAAAACGAGGAAGAGTTAAGAGCTGGAATCCGTTGATGTTGGTCCACTAGGAACTTTTAGTTAATTTTCCCTTTTATCTTTCTTACATATCGCCATTTATGCTCCAATTTTCCCTTCTTTTCTTTCCTTTTTCCTATGAACTTGCTAGAGATTAAAGAAGAGGAGCGTGAAAGGCACTGTTTTTTTAGGGTTCCAAATCATAGAACATAGAGTATGGGTAGCAGATGTCTCTGTTTTGAGGTTGTTTTCCCTCCTCAGCAGATTACTATGTGAGAAACTGCTTTAACTGCAACTGCCCAAATTTTATTATATATGATATTTATTTATTGTTCCACAAAGCAAAATATTATTTTTCTATTTTTTTACAATAACATTGGAATATAAATATATAATATGAACAGGCGTATGATATATTAAAAATATATATAAACATTATCAGATTAAGAAAACAAATGAAAGGGTAATTAGGTCATTGACAGCATAAGGAGGTATTATTTGATTGAAAAAACCATTAAAACACATAAATGCAAGAGTAATTATGACAGTTGAGAGCAATGAATTTGTTGGTCATTTCCTTTTTGCCATCAACAAATTATGTTATTGTCTACTTTATCTTTTATAATAATATATAATTTTATGTATCATCAACAAATTATGTTATTGTCTACTTTATCTTTTATAATAATATAAACGGATCTTAAATTATATTATTATTTTATCATGATTCTACACTTATTTATAAATTACTTTTATTAGATTTACAATACAGTAAATAATCATCATTATACTTTTATATTTTATTTTTCCCTATATCTCAATTCTATTGCATCCAAATGTATTTTATCTTATCGTATTAATAGAAAAATAATAATGCAATGGACCCATTTATCCCCACCCCCCTCCTATAGCTTTTTTGCTTTTCATCGCATTTCTTTCTCCAGATTCTCCACTCTTGACTTCTACATCTTCCTCTTTTCTTCCCTTACCGATCAGATCTCTAAAATTCCTTTGAAGAAAAAGACCCTCCAGTGAATCACCCATGACGCTTGGCTCAGGAGGATCGAGTGTCGTGGGTTAGCCCCTTTGCTCCGCTTTCACACTTCTCTTTATAATTTTATGCACCCCCTTTGTTTATCGACTAGATCTTGCGTTTTTATTAATCTTTCATAGGTTTCATTATTGGGTTTTATTTATTTTATTGTCTTATCGATTCTTGCAGCACATATAATCAATTATTATTTATGGGTTTGGACAATTTATGTGGATTAAGATAAGAAAATTAAGGGGTTCCCTTTGTTTTTCTATTGTTTTATGGGTTTGTTATTTCGTTTCAAGTTTTGGGTGATTTTTTATTTTTACATTTGCTTAACTTTTGAATTGATTTCATTGCTGTTATATTCGGTGTAAAGTTCTATTTTTTTGTTAGCTTGGATATTTGTCGAGCGATTTAAAGTATGCTTAGTTTCATTATCAATATTATGTGAGTTTATTAATTATATATTTTTTAAAATCCTTATGAATTATGCTGCCATCGGAATTTGATCGTTTGTGTTCTAATAGTGTTTGAATATGTCTTGCAAGTGAAATATTGAATCAAAGAACATGGAAATGTGCATTTTTTGTGTATTGCAACTTTGTTCCCTCTTAAAACTACAATAGATAGGTGTCGACGTTTAGGTATTTTAAGACTGATGTTCCCTCTTAAAACTACAAAACAATAAAATTGTGACTGAAATACAAATGAGAAAGAAGATGGCACTCAAGAAAATTTAGGGTTAAGGACAATCTCTAGTTTTCTATCAATTCAAAGAACAACAAGGATAATTGTTTCGGCTGTAAATCCTTCAACTTATTTATATGGGCTAGTTTTCTTGCAAGCAAAGTTTAATCATAACCCTAGATCTAAACCCTAAAGATAGTTAATAACACTTAAAATACTTAACAGCCCTAGCCTTAGACGTCTATCATAAATTTATTAATTAATAAATATCATAAAATAAGATATTACAAAATTATGCTCCAGCATCATACTCCCTGGCTTGGAAAATTAAACTCCGGCAAGAAACCTTTCACCACATAAGCTAAAGTTCTGGATCAGCTCTTTGCAGCCTCTTCTCCATGATTAACAACCTTGCTGACTCAACATGTGCCTTTTCATCTTGTTCATTCTTTAATTTAAATTCCATCTCCAAACTATGCTTCCAATAACTCAACATCCCATTGTACTTGAGTAAATCTTTATCTTTTCAAACAAAACAGTGTGCTGCATGTTTTCATAACAATTCTGTCTCGTGGATTCAAGTTCCACTTTCAACAAAGGCTCCACTTTAATTCCAGAATATATTTCAATTGTACTAGGACTTTCTTCTTTGGTTTCAGATTTATTAATGAAAGTCTCCTTCATGCCAGTTTGATCACCACCATATGTAGGAGTTACTTCATTGACACCTTTCTTGTCACCAGAATTCACAGTGTTGTGTATTATCAAGCATCATATTACTCTTTATAATTAAATCTTCATTAGGAATCTGTCTCATACTTGCAACATTTTCTTTTGGAACATCAGAAGAAAAAAGCTTAAAACCACACCCATGAATAATGCCAAATTTATCAAGATCAAACAAAAGTGGCCATTCAGCTTAGTCGCTTACAGCATTTAAAGTGGCATTTACAGAAGCTGCATGCTTGTTTTCCATGTCAAGTTGTGTTGTCTACCAACCTCATTCATGAACCCCAAAAATGTGTTTGGCGTTTCTCTCCATCCATAAAAGTTATCTAAAGCCTTAAAAGTTGTTTTCCATTCATCAATATTTCTCAACTTGATTTGATGATCATCGCCATTCAAATCAGTATTTCAAAACACCTTAAAACCAACTACTTGATCAAGAATATCATTCATCCAAGGTATCCCAACAATAATATGATCCTTAGCCATAGGAATATCACACAAGGCTTTATCTTCAAGTTGAGGCTACTCTTTAAAAATGCTTCCATTTCCTGGATTAGATGTTGACTTTGGTGGTGGGAAGACTTCTTTTCAGATTCAACAATTATTTTTCCCTCCAAGAATCAGGTTAAGCTGTCATGAAATATCATGAAGAAAATCAAGAAAAACTTAGGGTAAAGGGAAACCTCTAGTTTTCTATTAATTCACTGAAAATAATTAGGATAAATTGTTTTATCCGTAAAGCCTACAACTAATTTATATAGGCTACCTTTCTTGTAAGCAAAGTTTAATCATAACCCTAGATCTAAACCCAAAAATAATTAATAACCCTAGAAGTACTGAACAGCCCTAGCCTTAGCCGTTTATCATAAATATAATAATTAATAAATATTATAAAATAAAACTGAAATTAAAAAATAAAATATATTATGCTCCTGCTTCATTTACGCTGGTTGGAGTTGTATATGTACCTTATTTGAACAGTAATGGCTATAGTGGAATCAATGTATGTTGAAAAGGCAATGTTCTTGTTGTTTTAGAATAAGTATAATTTTATTAAAATGAAACGGATACAAGCTTGTGCTGATATAATCTGGTATGCATGCATTGTGAACTGTCTCATCTGTGTTCCTTGAATCTAAGCAAAATACATAATTAATCTATGGCAGTTGTAACTTGTAATATGATTATGCGTAGGGATGTAACCGTTATCATGCTTACATAGTCAATTACTTTTCAGAAACTTACATTGAAGACTGTAATTCTTTTGGCGTTAAGTGCAATGCGTGGACTTATTGTGTTATTAACATAGCTGGTCATACCCATTATTGAGTTTTATATGTTAATTTTACAGTGCCTCGGAACTTCAGATTGCTGGAGGAGCTTGAACGTGGAGAAAAGGGTATTGGAGATGGTACTGTCAGCTATGGAATGGATGATGGAGATGATATTTACATGCGTTCTTGGACTGGCACCATTATTGGTCCTCATAATGTAATTGCTTATTTTTAAGTCAACGTTCATACTTTGATGTTTTTCCTTTAGATGAAACTTTGTGTCTATATGAACAATCATAGATAAAGCACTGGGTATTAAACACAACATTTCAGGAAAACAGAGAACTTAAAGCTTTTTCTCTGTTTCTTTCTTCGTTCTTTTTTGTTATAATTCTTTTCAATATTCACAAACAATTGGCATTTTGATATCTTGGTGCCTGCCTTTGGGATTTCCCTACCCCTTGCTTTTGAAGTGAACAATGGTTTTTTCGTTGGACGATTTCGAAAACTATCCCTTTTAATATGCTTTACTGTTTCTTTCTGCGTGTTGAATCCTTTTCCTGTTCTCAGACCGTACATGAAGGTCGAATCTATCAGCTGAAGCTGTTTTGTGATAAAGATTATCCCGAGAAGCCACCAAGTGTCCGTTTCCATTCAAGGATCAACATGACTTGTGTTAACCATGAAACCGGAGTGGTATACAAATAAGTTATATTCATATTTCATGCCATGATTGGTTTATTTTATCTGATTTCCGTCGGGTTAATCTTTTGTTGCTTTTCATTTGTTCGTTAATATATGTTGAGAGAAAACATAGTGACCTAAAAATTTGGTGGCATGATCGAAACAGGTGGAACCGAAGAAGTTTGGACTTATTGCGAATTGGCAGAGGGAGTATACGATGGAGGATATTCTGACACAGCTGAAAAAGGAGATGGCTGCCGCGCATAACCGAAAGTTGGTCCAACCACCCGAGGGTACGTACTTCTAGCGCTCAAGATCATACTAGATATTATCCCGGATTTAATTGCATTTGTAGTAATGCAATATATAGTTTGTATTGCTTGTTTGATCCCTGCCTTAAGAACAAACTGGAGATACCCTGAAAAAAATTTCTCCAATTACTTCTTTAAAGGCTTTAACTTTTTTATCCTTTTTGTCAAAACTCTGTCGCTGTTTGATTAATATGATTTAATTAATCAGTGTCACATGTTCAAAAAAAAAAACTTTTGATTATTATTCTAGTTTGGACGTTTTCTTCTCTTTTTTTCCTCCTTTTTCACCAATGGCTCCAATTTCCATGCATAGATACGAGGATGCGATTCTCGAATGCATTCCATATGAAACAGACAAAAAGAAAATTTCAGAAATAATTGTACCCGTACAAGCATGCGATGGTTACCAAGATTGTGGGCATATTGTCAGTATCATATAGGTCAATATGTTTTGATAACGGACCCTCTATATGGGATTGGGTAAATTAAACTCTTCCCTCTCTTCTATTCTGCTGACCGACTTTAAAAAAAATTCAATTTATTCACTAAATTTTAAAGATTAAATATTTTTGGTCATTTTGTCATTAAATAATTAATGGTGTTATGATATACAATTTATATCAATATAACACTGTTTTAAATCCTTAAAAAATTAAATTTAAATCAAAACAACGTTATTTTGGTTCTTTGTGAAAATATATTTTTCTATTTTTTCTCATTTATTGTTCATTCTTTATTTCTCCCCCCCCCAATTTTTCTCTTTAATTTGAACACATTTTTTTTTCTCGTTCATCCTTTCTTCCTTTTTCATTCTCTTTTTTCTCTGGTCGATTCGAATGGATTCAGATTTTAACTATCACGTCATTTTTAATTTTTAAATAAGATATATTTGGGTCAAAAGGGGTGTGGGCTGTGGCTAGAGAAGGTTTGTTAATTTTTAAGTTTGATTTTTGTCTAGACTCGTGTGGTTATTGAGATTTAGTTTGAAATGTTTTTTGGATCATATATTCTTGTAGGAAGACGTGATTATTGGAAAGAAATTTAGGTTGAATGATTATATTAGAAGCATTAAGAACAATGACAGAACGATGATTGAACGTGTGTTGTAATAATCGGATATACTTTGGGGAGAGTAATCGGTTGAATTGATTAGATATGCGACAAATTTTCTTGCTTTATCTCTGATCCTTTTTTCTTGTTTAGATTTGAGATTAGGAATAAAAAAAAATATTGTGGGAGATTTGTCTGGTTGAAGCGACAGTGGCTTAGGATGACAAACATATGGCTGGAGCTTGATTTTGGTTTTGGGTTGTCTGAGAGTTAGAGGCGGCACTAGAGTATGGGTGAAGGGACGGTTGTGAGTGGAACAAATATAAAAAGAATAATAATAAAATATTAATTGTGGTCTACATGGCAATTCAAAAAATAATAAAAATTGTCATATCATCAGATAGACAGAAAGATACGATAAAGTGAAAAAAATTCAATCTTCAAAATTTAATGAATAAATTGAAATTTTTAAAAGTTTAATGAACAAAATATGAGAGAGAAAAATATAATAATGATTTATGTAATTTACCCTATAAGATTAATTTTTGATAATTATAAAATAATATTTATTTAAGAATGTTAATGATTGGTAATATATCTATACCGTATAGATATAATTATTTGATTTGATTTTTTTTAAATATATTTTTATTATTAAAGACACTCAGTGAATTCAATTATACATTTTTCTTAAAAAAAATACTCAGTATAATTTTGTTTTTCATTTAAAAATATATATTTAAAAGGACATTTAATTTGTGTAATATCTATTCACATGTAATGATTTTAAACCGATGGTCTTGTTTAATAAAAAATGAACTTATGCGTTAAAACTTAAAAGTTAATTTTCTTATGTTGACAACCCATCATCCACCTACACATCTTATTTGATATATTTAAAAATTGTCAATAATTAAAGTATGTGAAAAAGAGCCACCGTTCAATGTATCACATTCATTATCGTGATTACATCTTGAAAATCGGATCACCATTTATTCTCATTTTCCTCTATCCGTCCGCGGGCTTCACTCTTTTATTTTTCAAATTTCGTAACAAGCACGCGTATTAATTAAACCTTTTCTTTATCAAATAAAAATATTTAAAAGTGGGCGTATTATACAGGATAAAAATAATTATTATTTTGATAAAAATTTAAAAAATTAAAAAATTAAATCGGTAAATTACTTTTTAAAGTGTTGTTGAGTAAAAAGGCTTTATTATTTGACTTATGACTATTTATAAAAAAAATAATTTCATTGTTTCGTTACCTTATTTTTGGCTTTCAATATCTATAAATTTACAGCAAAAAATTAGATTGCCTAAGTTAAACTGTGTAACTATAGTCTTGATTAATAATGACGATGATAATAGAAATTAACACTGTATTTATTTAAATTATAATGCAATATATTTATAGGCTTCTACTTAATAGTGGACTAATGTTATTTAATAATTAGCGTATATATATAATATAAATAAGTTATGAATTATGATCATATTAATAACATTTTCATTTTTAGTAAATTAATAATATTTTCATTAGGAATATATAAGATAAGGCTATATTAATAAATATAAATGGACGTGTTCATGAGTGTGTGTTTTTATTTATTTAGAATGAAAAACGTTATTGGCATAAAACGTGTTAAATTTCCGTTTTCAACGTTATTTTTTCATTAAATTGTGGTATACATTTAATTATATGATGATAATGTAAATTGTTAATTATGTAAATTGATACCTTAAATTAATAGAATCACAATGCAGAGTGATATCATAATTATTGCATTATTTAATTATAATGCTAAAATGACATCATTTCATTATTAATGTACACGATAGATCTTAAATTATCTTAAAACTTTCAGTTTTTAAAATATGTAAAATCTTTATGAAATATATGGCATTTATAATTAAAAAAACATAATGATTAATTAAAATGGTAAAAATATATTAAATATTATTATATTAAATAGCAATATCTAATTAATTAATTACAAATCATTAATTAAGGGGCAAATTATTGAAATGGTTACTTTTATTTCTTAAGTTTCACTTAGATCATCAAACTCTAAAAAATAACATTTTGGTAATTTATGTTATCAATTTATAAGTTTTTTATCGTGTATGTTATCGACTTCTAATATTTTGGTTATTGAAACATTGAATGTCGTTAGTTTGATGATGTTGCACGTTAGTAAAAGTGATTAATTTTTAATTTGACATTTGATAAAATACTAATTTAACCAATAAACTTTAGATAAAATATTTATTTCACCCTTTAACTATTGGACCTTAAATTTTCTAGCTCACATATTCTTCACCCTCTTAAATGAGAATTCAAGTTATTTCATCGAAAAATGCCTCGAACTCTACAAATCTAACCTAAATCATTTAACTTCATTTAAAATAAAATAATAATAATAAAATTATTATTAAAATTATTTTAAAAATAAAAATACTAAAAATCTAAATTTATATCAAACACCTTAACTTAAACACAACCATACATTTGCACGAACCAACTTACTTTAGTGGTCAAAGGAATCGTTATTGTTCATAGAGTTCATCAGTTCGAGCAACTTTGCCTACAAGAGTGCTCGAGAGTTCATTGTTAAATGATTGAGAATATTTAGAACATATATTACTTTGTAATCATCTTAGCTTAATAAAAAATATAATATATAACATATAATGCAAGAATGATGAACATAAACATGAAATAATCAAAATATTATAAATTAATAATATAAGGGGTCAAACTGTTATAAATCGATAATATAAGTGATCGAAATAATATATTTTTATATTCAATGACCAAAAAATAACAACTATAAAAAAGTGATCATTTTGATAGTTTACCCTTTATAAAATAAAAGTAATTAAATGAGTAAAAAGTCTCCCTAGACTCTACTGGCTACAAATACCTTTCCCCTCGCATCCATTTTCTTTCGATCTTTTCAAACCCTAAATCCTAAAAAAAATTAAAATCCAAATATATGTACAAGAAACTAAAAGAGGGTTTTCGTTGAAAAAGATAGAAGAAAATGTCAGATAAACCACCACTAAGAAAGTCGGTCGTGATCCGATCCGTTTGGTCTCACACTTTGGAGTCCGAATTCGAGATAATCAGATCCGTTGTCGACAATTTTCCGATCATCTCAATGGACACGGAGTTCCCCGGCGTTGTTGTCAGGCCAAATTCCCTCGGAAGCGTCGATTTGCTGAAGATGATACAACTCGGCTTAACTCTCTCGGACTGTAACGGAAATTTACCAGATCTTGGCACGGAAAACCAATTTATAAGGGAATTCAATTTCAGAGACTTCGATATCGCGAACGATGCCCATGCTCACGATTCCGTCGAAATTCTCCGTCGCCAAGGCATAGATTTTGAGAAAAACCGGGATCGACTCGATCCGATTCGCGGAACTGATGATGTCATCGGGACTCGTTTTGAACGACGACGTTACGTGGGTGACTTTTCACTGCGCGTACGATTTCGGATACATCGTGAAGTGCTTGACGAGCGAGTCGTTACTGTTCAAACTCACCGACTTCTTGAGCCTCGTGCGCTTGCTCTTCGGAATCAGACTCTACGACGTCAAACACTTGATGAGGTTCTGCGCTGGCTTGTACGGGGGGCTCGACCGAGCATCTAACGCTCTGTCAGTGAACCGGGCCATTGGGAAGAGCCATCAGGCCGGTTCCGATAGTTTGCTGACATTGGACGCGTGGTTGGAGGTCAAAAGAAGGTATTTTGGGGAAGGGGATGTTGAGAATTATGCTAATGTTCTTTATGGTTTAGAAGTTGAATCTTCATGAAATATCAATGCATTCTCTGCTGATAAGCCCTCATGGCATTTGTTTTTAGTTAGATTTTTGTACACAATTTCAAGGTTATTGATGATTCATCAATATTAGTAATAGTTTCAGTTCCATTCTTTCATTTGCACATTCCCCATATTAAGAAAATGTAATTTTTATGCTAAAATAAGCCCCTAATCTATGATTTACATTTGAATAAGCTTTTGAGCTGTAATTTGTACCTAAGGGGCCTTAGCATTTAATTACCCCTAAAAAGATCTTTGGTGTTATTTGAGTACAAATGAAAGATAATGATATATTTGATGATTACCTTCAAGGCTCTTGTTTTAATATTTTAGCCTATAGTTATATTTTTGGTTAGATTTTTTACTTTAATGGCGAATAGAAAGCATGTTGTTGCACTCTTAGGTAGATAGGATAAAGAGTACACCAAATTACCGGTCTAAAAATGGAGTCTTAAACAATGGCAACCATGGAGGACAGCCCTAAACTAACCATTGGGAATCTCAATCCATGAGTCTTGTTTTCGTAGAAATTCTGTGCAGTGTTCTTAAGCGCTTATTCTTGAAAGGGGTCAGATTATGGTTACTATGGATTTTTTGATAGCGCGTTATAATTTGGTATTTCTTTTTGTTATTAGTGTGAATTTTGTTTGAAGAAATAAACCATCTATATGTGAACTCTTTACAATCAAAGAAAAGAAGTCACAGGAACTCTTGAACACAGGAAAGAAAGAAATGCTGATAAAACGGCAATGATAAGAACTATATCACCGTGCTTTAGATATTAGGTGAAACTTCACAAAGTGGTGACTTGAATTTGACACTGAGGAGCTTACTTATTCAAAGAGAAACTTGTGAAGCCTCATAAATTGTTAAAACCTGAGCATCATACATGGCCAAAAACTGTTTTATCTCAAACTCGAGAAAATTGAGTGATTGTGGACCTAGAGAAACATGAGTCCTCGCCTTATTATTGTGAAAAAGGTCTTCGCATGCCAAAAAATTATGGAGATAGATGAAGAGACAATGACAACAAAGTGCAGGGCTATGATTATGTAGATAACTTTGCCATTTACTAACGTTGCTAAAAGAAAATTTAACTCGAATTTTCTTAAGAATTCTATATTAGCCGATTAACAAAAGTGATTTGGATTGAAGTATAATATTAATTGTAAATGAAGGATTAAATTATATCAAACTAAAGAACAATGACTAGCGTAGCATAGATCCGAGTCTAAAAAACCAACAATGGAGGTATATGGTTTACGCTTAGTACCTAATATGCACGTAAAATGTCGCTTGCTATGCTGCTAAAACTTAAAAAGTTTGTACAATGTCGTACTGAATCCCAACAGATGGGCCTCATTCGATGATGAAGTCAGCCCATGTAATTGATTTTACCAATTCATGGGCTCCTTTAGTCATGCCATTGTTCATTTCTTTTTAGTTTTTTAGTTCATGCCCGATTTTGACCCTATCCCATCTGTCAACTTAAATTTATTGCTCATTTGATATTACTTTTTAAACATATATTAATACTTAATAATTTTAATTACTAGAATAGTAATTAGGTTTGGAAGACCTCAAGATCAAAATTTATTTGTTTAAATTCAGCTCATGTCACGCTACGTCTATTGGTTGGATAAAAACAATTCAATCTTAAGATAAGTCAATTATTAAATTTTAAGTTGGTCTAACAACGTGAGATATTAAAAATTTTAAATAATGTTTAAGGTTTCGAAGGGCCTCAATACTTGTTAGTTGACACCATTACAAGGGTCTTCAAGCCTTGAATGTTTGCTTAAGATAATTAGAATCTAGCAACCCATAAACTAAGAGTGACTTGGGGGCTCCCTCTTTGAGGGACAAAGATTGAAAACAATGGGGTTTCAACTGTCCATAGAGTGACTTAGTTAATTCATTTGATTTGACCCTAATCTGCCCATCATTTCCTTTTGTTGTCACAACAAAACCTTTGCTGTCACAACAAAACCTTCGCCTTTAACAAGTCTTAGATTGGTCCCCTAATTTGCTTTTAAGTTAACTTCATTTTTCAAACTTTATATCTTGTCTGTTCTTTTCACAACAGCCAGATATATTGTATATGTTGATAAATTTTGCCATCTTAATTAAGAGCCAAACTATTATCCACTTATGACCCTACACCCAAACTTCATCTTTTTTTATTAGATTACAAAAATGGCCAACAGAACTTTAAAAGTAAACCCTAGCTACCACATATATAATTTGCAATTGCATAAGAACTCAAGAACAATAGATTGGGATAATGGTGTACATGACTCTAGTTTATGTATGATATTAGTATAATTTTTGTTTGTTCAAATTTGATTCGATTTAAAATATTGTCTTTAAATTTTATTTAGACTTGATCATATTTGAATATGATTAACCCAAACTTGTTTTAGTTTTCCTTATATATATATATATATATATATATTTAAAAAGTAGTATTTTTAATATTTTAAATATAATATTTTAACATATTTTTTAATATTTATATTATAATATATTATTATAGATTTAGTTTTAATGTGATATAGATTATATCACATATAAAAGTAAAATAAAATATATGTACTATAAATATTATAATATTTAATGTGATATTAATAAATTTTTCTCAAAATAATTACATGAATTGAAACCCTAGATTAAAATTATTCATAAATGCACATCATATAAACAAATGACTTCTACCCCCAAATTTGGCAAATGATGGAGTTGAAAATTGAAACATCAACTAATGGAGATGAAGGAAATCACTAATTGCATGCAATTGCCTTAATTGGTTCAATTTTGTTGATGAAGGAAATCAATTTTAAGTAATCTCTATATATAGAGAGAGAGAACCTATTAGAGAATATGTTTGTTTTTCTCTCTTTTTTGGAAGAGAAGATATATCAGGTAGAAAACCCATGTTAGTTAGCATCATCTTTTAGCTTTTCAGTTTAAGAAATGTGTGCTTTCGTAGGCACACACAGATGAATAGTTGTTATTTAAAAATTCTAAATTTCTATATAATATGTATTTTTATATTCTTCAATTAAAAATCTGTTTTTGATTTCTTATAATTTTGTAAGTTTGTTCTTCTTCTTTTGAAAATTTGTAAATACATTCCTTAATATAAATTTTTATATTCGTCTCAGGTCTCACGTAAGAAATGAGATGTTCCAGTGTGAGGAAAAATGTAAAAAGATTGGCTAGGTAGAGATAGATGAACATTGTGTCTTCTTCCTTCCTTGATATGTTTCAACATTCCATCTCATATTATAAAGAAAGGTGCTATTTGAGATAGGGATAAGGCTGAGTTGCCACGCAAACCCACAAACAGAAAACATCATCAAACCCAATGCCGCCTTCAAATATAATCTACTTCACAACTAAAAACATGCCCCATTAATAATTTCAAATGTCCCATTATTTTTTTCCAAAGAAATTAAAAGTGATAGTAATCTCTTCTCGAAGCACCCATAAGGCTATTTTTAATAATTTATCTAATTTCCCCCCAGAAATTATCAAAATCAAGTTCCAATCATCTGTAATGATCTTCAAAACTAAATCCAAATTAATAGAATATGTAGATACCCTTTGCTTTGGTTCAATGATTATGCACGCATTATCTGTGAAAACTCTTTTGCAGGGGTAAACTTGTCTGCTGGTGTAGTACCCTAAAGTGGGAGAAAACGAAACAAGGATTGTTCATATGAATCTCGCTTTCAAAAAAGACTCCAATATGCTCATGTGACCCATCAATATTTATGGGTCTTTTCTACTGTTTAACATTACAAGATTTCCACTTCAAATTAGCCAATGAATATACAATAATACACTATTAATTAAACATTTTTGTTTAAAGATATATTTTCATTTAATGCATGAAAAAAAGAAAGCTTCATTTTCACAACTTACAACGCCATTAAACGTGAAAAATAATTCTTTATATACTATCTTAATTGGCATTGGTTATTGATAAGCTCAACTGTCACAATTTACTCATTTAGTGTTAACCAGTTGAAGCTGAAAAACATCAGGAGAAAACCCACGATAATTATTAATGAATCAGGTGATAAAATATCATTAAAATGAAGTTTAATGAATTTAAATTTAAAATGTTCTGATGATACATTTTTATTTGATGATGCATCGTCAGTGTACTAAATATAAACTCGATCGCTTCAAGGAATCGTCAGCAGGGTTGATGGAGAAGACCCCATTCCAGATATCAGTGAAAGCTGTAAGAATGATGTCATGGTAATAAGACGAATTCAGCTTCAAGAAACAGTTGAGAAGCTCCTTCAAATCATCTTTCGAATATATCTCCTTCTCCAATATCATTTGCAACATCGAGTACCTGAAATCTAAGTAAGGGTCATCCGACTCTTTCTCCACCGCCAGGCTCTCCCCTCCCACACGCCCAAACCCTCGAACCATCGTCGTTGAACACTTGGTTTCCTTGTCGACGTCCATGTCCCAGTACTGGGTGGTAGTGTCCGAGCTCGGAGGAAATGAGGTCAGGGTTCCGAATTCAGACGAAGGAGGAGGAGGAGTTTTAGATGGAGGAGACTGTGGTTTGGGGTCGAAAAAACTGGAGAGCTTCAATTTCTTGCAGCTGTTGCAGCCTAAGCTGACTGAAACCGTGTTGAGGAAGAGCTTCTTTTTGTCGAGTGACATTCTTGTTTAATTAGATAAGAAGTTATTTAGATAAATGGGAGTGAGGGAACTTAATGAGCAATGAAGAAACTAGAAAGCCATCTATAATTATAAACCCCATAAATCCTGCATGTGACCAAGGGGGCCCATTGATTTCGCTTTTTATTTTTTATTTTTATATATAAGAAGAATTAGTATCTAATTCAAGATAATGAGAATATAAAACTTATTTAGTGACATTAGTAGTAAAAAATGATATTATTTTTTTAAAGTATTTAAGTTTGAGCATATGTATATATATATTGTCAATTGATTAAAAATATATAAACAAATAATATAATATAATCGTTTTAAATTATTTAAAAAATAAATATGAATATAATGATAAAATTTAAATATTTGAAAAGAAATTTAAAAACATAGAACACATTTATATTTAATTATTTTATAATAATCACCTACCAAACGGTAAATCTAAATATTAGTTTCTCGTATTATAAAAAAGCATGAAAAAATAATTAAATAATATAATTCTGATCGTATTCTAAAAATCTTTAACTTTTTAACTTTGTTTTTATGTCACTTTAAAATACAATAGGTCAACATCTTCTAAAGTTAAAGTGCACTTTCATTTAAAATTTTGGCTCATTGCTTCAAAATTAAATAGTGAATATTAGTTTAGTTGTCATCATCATCACTATAGAAAACTTTCGAAAGAGATGGAGTAAAAAAGTTTTAATTGTGAATTAAATTTTAAAAAATATCTAAAAAGTTATAAAAAAATTAGTATACTTGTTAAATCGATGAATAATAAGATTATTATAAAACAATTAAAATAATAAAAACATAAGCCATCAATTAAGTATTGATATTTCTTTTCTTACTGTATGCATCATTTAATTGTACATTTTGAACTTAATACAAAGGAAAATATTAACTATTGTCCACCGATACTAGTTTAGATTACATTTCAAACTACATATTTATTTTTATAAAATATATGATCAAATTTGTTATAAATAAAGCAATTGGCACCAACCCAATATATATATTAAATTTTTGTAAATGCAAGTGTAGAAAGAGGCTACTGAATAGACAAACAAATTGATTGTATTTTAGAGGATTCACATGCAGTATTATTGCAGGATCATATATTCTCGAATCAAGCAATGGGATTATTGATCCACCGGATATCAAAGGTTCATAGGGCCAACCAAATAAATACAAATATAATATCAATCAACCATTTTTAGCTGATCAGTACACCACAATTAATCTTGTGAATCTTCTGCCTATTTTGGTTCTTTATTTGTTATTATTCTGCTTATATAATTAGTAATATTATCAGTGGATATGGTATAGTTTCTGCTGCATGCGGCAACCTAGCTTTTCAACAGCTCATGTCATTTCTTAGAGCCACCATGTGTAAACAAAACTTTTATTAAACTCTAAACTTAATTTTATTAATCCATACAATCATGTTCAAAAAGATACTATTTAATAAGTAAATCACAATATATACAATCATTTCTCAAGGTGAATTTATTTCCTACATATAAATAAGGATGACGTGCGAGCCGGGTCCATATGATAATTTCTCATCCTCTACGGACTGCCTACCTAGCAGTAAAGATAATAGAAACTGTGGTACCAAACTCTTGACCTTATCTCAATATACCCATACTATATGCAAATATGCTTCTCCAAATATGAGAAAAACTTTAAAACATATTCAGCTTAGATTTCGTTTACCATTGGCAGACCTACATAGTGATAATGAAGTTGGATTCATAATGTGGCTGAAAAATCACTGCATTGCTATAATCATGAAGATATAGATGGATACAATCTGCGTATTCACGATTCACATCATACAAACATATCAAATTCTCAACAAGTATCACAACATTGGTCTGTTTTCTTTAGCAAAAAACTTCTAAGAAAGAGTTTTTTTGAAAAATGTTGACAAACCATGTACAAAGCATAACTCAAGTAGAACTATTGCTATTTGACTCAACCTTAAATGTTCAATAAAATATCTTTTAGAAGTCATTTTCTATAGATCAAACGAAACCTTGTCATATCGATGCACCAATTCTACACATCTACACTTGGTATAGCTGCTTTGATATTTCGAACGGATTCAAAAAGCAACTCAAGATCAACCAAGGGGTATTCATTGGTATATAATCAGGATTTGATGAACAGCATCAACCATGTGATCCCAGTATCGTCCATAGCATGTATTGTCTTCAACACTCAACCAACGAACTAACCCGGAATTCCAACATGCAATGCTTGTATCTGTGTAACTAATCCATGTATATTAAAGATTGGATGGCGAGGATTGGGGCCTCGGGGTACTGATATCAGCCATTCCAAAATTAGCTTCAAACATATCTACCCCACTCCATTCAACAACTGCAATTCTTGGAGTTAAGGATTACACATTCAAATATTGTGACTATGAATGTATATTAGATTGCAAAACAAAAGAGTTTGATCAAGCGCTTTTTTCAAAGCCATTGGGGGTCAAGCGTATTGAAGAGCTATAAAATTTGTAGAAGGATACAGTCTGTCTTCCACATATCCGTAATGCTAACATCAGCATCTGAAAGAAGCCAATAATCTGCATCGTTCTGAAAACAATAAATGAAAAGTGACAAGTCAAGTTCAACTCTTTGCCAAAAGAAATGTACATATTTAACCATAAAAAATGGAGCAGATTGCTTTCACTCTCTTTTTTTTATAAAAAAAATTAGTGCGTGATGAAATCCTAGGCAGAAAGGGAATTTGATCTTAGATCTCAAAGAGGGCAACAACCTAGGTCCAAATGAATTTTGAATTCAAACATCAGTTCATGTATCCATTCTCTATAGAGCTGGCTACAGAAATAAATGGTCAAAAGAAGTGCACTTACATCAATATTCGAAGGAACAATTTTCATCATTTCCCCAACAGACTGTGAAGCATTAACATCAGCGCACATTTGATGAGTTTGCACTGCCTGTGGTTCGATTTCCATTCTGGTATCATCCGTATTAAACAAATCAACTCGGTTTTCATTAGAGCCAGAGCTTGAAGCTAGTGAGAGACTTGCAGGTGGCTCAACACCATTCACCTCTTCAAACTTCTCAAATTGGCTGATGAAAAACAACAATTTGAGAAGAAAGAGAACTGAGAAAGATGTCAAAACAAGAACCTTTTCTGACCATCAATTAGATTTCATTTTGAAAGAAAGATGGTTCATAAACATGCACATATAAATAGCTTAGCATACGTAAGGAAGCAATGCCTGACTAGGTAAACATCAATGGAACCCATTGTGCTTCTAAGGATCATCCTGTATCTCCTTTGTGGGTAGTCAACAGCCTGGAATATGGAGATGCAATGCAATCATACATTCAAAACATTAAAGTAGAAAATGGTGTTAACTCATTAGAATTCTCTAGCCACCAGCTTACTTGATCAGGATCAAGTACTTCCAGGGTAGTTCCATGTGGAGCTTTAATTGCTATCAGGGTTTCATTCTGCCAAAAGCAACATGGAAAATTTAGCCATAGTGAAATCAAGATGTTTTGGAGATCAGTTTCAAGTGGAGAAAATTATTGTGAAGGAATAAATTAAATGAAACATGGAATCGACAGACCTGAAAACAAGGTAGACCCTTGATGTCTTCTTCAGTCACAAAAAGCCACCTGAAAAGAAAATTTGAAGATGGTTAAATGTATTGTTCTTTGCAAGGAATTGAAATCAACAACAATTAATTTGATCCCAGTGCAAACCAGAGGGGACAATATGCTTACCTCTGGTTGTTCTCATTCTCACTCAAATCCCTCAATCTTTCCTGCTTTTCTCTGCAATACTTTATAACCATCGGCAATCCTAAACAGATTTGAGACGGTGAGAATGACTACTATTACAATAGAATAAGCAATGCAAAACCTTATTTGATCATCTAATGTGCGCTCTTTCATGGTAAGGTTTTCAATTTCTGCCTGCATACAAAATAGAAACTAATATCATATACAGGAAGTAAAAAAAACACAATTTGGTCAACCAGATCAGATCAAGCATTCTCTTGAAACTCATAAACCAAAAGAAAGAAACAGAGAAACACTCTTAAACAAAATAACAAGAAAAATTGTTGCCTGGGGAGTGGGGATGTCAAGGTAAAAACAAAACCAATATTACTTCCATATACCTGTAATACAGAGAGATCAATATCTGCTTCTCCAGGCCTTGAATCATCAACACCCCTAGTAAATTTGATTTAATTCTCAAATAAGTCCCACGTCTTTGAAGGTTAACCAGAATGGCAAACCAAATTAAGACAACAAATTCTTGAAAACTTTTAAAATCGCTAATTATTACTTCCAACGTATTTTGTTTTTCATCTTCTTTGCCAAAATAACTCATTTCTTTTTTAAAACACGCAATATTAAGGTTACCTAAAGAACTGTCATAGCGGCAGCATCCAGCAGGAGTAAGTGGAAATGGAGAACCTGCCATGCCATACATAACGTCAGAGGTTCTTGTCCCATATTATATCCATCTTACTTATCACTTAACGATTATTTGACTACCCATAATGCAGTAATCAAACTCGTATATACATCTTGGGACTGAAATATAAGTTTCCTTTATGGACTAAGCTCATAGCAGACAATAAATGGTAAGATAATAAAGTGGATGAAAGGGCAAAACTTCTCACTAGCATTTGCCGGGGGTGTTTGTGGAGTAGACTTATTGGCCGTTGATCTACTATTTATCCTTCCTCCTTTAGGGGATACAGGTGTCTGGAATGGACTATTGGATATGCTGGTAACTCCTGGACTATTTGTCCATTGGCTAGACTCAACTTCCTTGTCCACATTGCGCTTTCTTTTTAATGGCTGAGAGAAACTGACAGTGTTTCGGAGTGTTGCTAATGAAAGGAGAATTACAAGTTTATCTCAGAAGCTATGTATGGCACTATGGCTACATTTACAAGAAAAGCTTATAAATATATAAAATGGAGCCAAGAAAAATAAAAGAGCCTAAGTCTAACAAATGCAAATATCTTTCCCATCAGCTTACTCTAAAGTGCTAACCATAAAAACCTTCAGAATAACTTTACTACTTGATTCGAAACATTTTTGCAAAGGCCAAAATTCAGAGATCAATGTCAAGAAAAAATCATGTAAAAAAATAGTGATTCACTTGTACATATGTTTTGGAGACAATAACGATTGTAATTTGAGGAAGGGGGAGTCATAACAATGCCAAGGGAATCATTTAGCAAACAGCCATTAAAGCTGCAACGTCCAAAGTTTTTTTTCACGTAGGGAATGCTACCTAATATTCTGCTTTTAACCCAACAATGAAGCACAAGCATCAGCTTCATACATGAGTGTAGCAAGTTTATTACGTAAAACTAATATATTATCAATTAAAATTACGTTTGAAATCCAAAACATCACAAACCAAAACCCGATAGCTAGATATTCACTCTTTAGCATGTCGGGCAAAAGTTATAGAGCTAAAAATAGTTTCTAATGGCATTAGAGTGTATAAATCATCAAGCATCTGCCATTCGAAGATGCCCGCATTTCAACTTAGTTCAGCAAAAGAGCACTTTACTCAGCCCGATGCATATTATATCATCAAATACATCACCAATAACATAAATACACTGCGAACAGCTCATGTATTAAAATGAAAACGTCACAATTTCACAGCAGAGTCAGATAATGATATTGATCATTTCAATTCCACAAAGTAAACAAGCCATCGTGATAAGTTCTTGTTGTGAAAAGATGTTGAAAAAATAAATCCACAAGGTTACGTACATATTATTGTACTTACAAAGTTGCAATCAAACAAAATATAACAATAAATATCAAATGAGAGTATAAGCAAAGCACAGAAATACATATGTTGAACTACACCATAATCACCATTTTTTAAGGAAAAATGTGAAATATATTTAGACCCAACTAAAAGCGGTAAACTCGAACTTATTAATTATGAGTATTTCTAATCTTTTTAAGGCTCAAGACCTAGGGACGAAGTTATGCTTCGTCCTGAGAGGGACTGTCTCTTACTTTTTATAATTTTAAAATATATATGGATAAATATCAAATTAAATGTTGTAATTTTAGTTTATTTTGATTTTATTTCTCATTTTATATGGTTAATTATACTTTGCCCCCTCAATTTTTTATAATAAATTATACTTTGTCCCTTTGAGTTGGTATCCTAGCTTCGTCCTTATCAATGTCTTATCTTAGACTTATGAAATCATTTTACGATGGTTGAATAACTCTTGAGATTGAATGTACTTTAGAGTATCACATTACACTTATTTATGAATAACTTCAAAGTTAGGTAGATATTACTTTTGTTTTTTTTTTATAAACTAAAGTCTCAAGTTAGAGTTTCACAAACTTTTTTCTTCCCTTAACTTGTGATGATTCATCAACCTCTTTAGCTACTCAAATCGAGCAAAGAAATGATTTAATATAATATCTTGAAGGTTCAAATCATAAAAATGAACTTGGAAATATAATAAGGATAAGAAGAAATTTACCCTTAATGGTTAATTAAAGAATCTTTAAAAAATTACTCTTTTAACATAAAACTTTAAATTTAAAACAGATAAAGAAGAGGGATAGAGAAAGGAGAATGAATAAGAGACAAAGGAACAGAAGAGAGTGCACGAGAATTTAAATATTCTGCCCCTTTTCCTTCATTTATCCTAAAAACAAACCTCACTTTGACGGTCTCATAAAATAGGGTAATTACCACCTAAGCTCTTCAACTATGTATTATAGTGTTTTTATATCTTATTGGACCCATTTATTCACATCTAATTAAACTCTATTCTTAATCCAACAAGCCTAAGACATTTACTATTTGAGTGGATCATTACTAAGTCAGCATATGAATATTAATCTTGAAGTTTGAATCATTACATATTTATTCGTCTCTTATAAAAATGATAGATATATAACTAAATATTCTTCGATAAACTACTAAAATATATTTTGAGTGTATGTATTATTTGTATACTTAAAATTTAAGGCTCGTACTTTTATTTATTGAAAAATAATCTTTCCACTTTCCTATTGACGTCATGACAAAATGAATTTCAACGTCTACACAAATTGTCACTTTAATCTATATTCCTTTTGGGAGTGGTCAATGCATATTGCTGATGAGTCATTTCTATATATGTTTAATTACATGTCATGTCACTAAAATGATGAGGTGACATCACGTCATTCAAAATGATGACATGACATATATCATGTCATTAAAATGATGATATAACATATCTCATGTCACAAATTAAACACATATAAAAATATTATTCAACAACATGTGTTGATTAATAGTCAACTAATAACTTACATTCAACAATGACTATTTTGATGAAAAATTGAAACATTGAAAATTAAAATACTAAAAATAAAAGAAAAAATAAAAGTCAAAGTAATAATTAGAATAAACATTGAAAGTTAATTTTATTATTATACCTTTTCTATCCAAGAAGTGAAGTTTAGTTGTTAATAAAATTAATATTCTTTTGTTAAATTCATTGATTATGTCATTTTAATATATATATAAACTTAGAAGCCATTAACAAAAAATGAGTTTAAAAACATTAACATTTTCTTAAAGACAAAACCCAGTACATCATCCAGGGCCGGTCCAATGAGTTTTAATGCCCTGAGCGAGATAATAATTTTATGCCCCTATACTTGTACCGTATAATAGACAAAACATAAATAATTTTTTTTTAGAAAAAAATGTAATAGAAATTATAGTCAAACAATATCAATACTAATACAAACCAAAACCTACAAGACTACAAATATCACCTAAAACAATATCTTCTTATGACATGTTAAATTTTGATGTTAAAGAAGGCTGTCCTGTTCTTAATGTTATCACCCACATGCTTTATTAGTGTCTCCAAACTTCATGAGAATTAAAGGAACAAGTTAAATTTAACAAGTAATTTCTTCGGTACTCTAATTGGTTTAGTACTTTAGTCATGGAATTTTATTTACATTAGAAACAAATAAAGTGTAGGGACCAACAATTCTCGCAAACAACATGTAACCATCGAACGAAGAGCAACCAATACAGTTCATATTTACTTCTAGTTCAAACCAAAACTAAGAAATTATTCAGATAGCTTTAGTATAAAAATAATCTGGCATTTAACTTAGAAATGCATAAACACCAAATGCCATTCAGCAAATCAATAGAACCCACAAAACAATGTATTTGATGCCATTAGGAGTAAATTACCAATGGCAAAGCATTATGAGCAAATTCGAATAGCTCCCTATCAACTTAATTGATTCACCACCATTAACATCTTAAATGATACACTTGCCGATATTTTCTAATAAAAACATTAACGGTTTGAGCATAATTTTTCCTCTTCAACACTCAACCTCTCTTTAAACGATGAAATCGCCATAGTTTCATCAGAATTTATGAATAATTTGTTCTTTTCTACCCCAAGACAGAAACACCGCGCTACTTAACAAAATAAGCAACTACAAGTTCTTATACGAGTTCTAAATTCTTAGTCCTTGTGTTCGGTAACAAAATATACTTGCATCAAATAACAGTAGCACTTATCCCGAGTAAATAATTCCTGAATCGAACATCAAGATATCGGAACACGCACATCATGGCGTAATCCCCAACAAATGAGCATGCCCAATACATTATAATGCAGTGTACTTCAGTAAGTCTACGGTTTGAAGGAGTAGAAAAAAGATAAACAATACCCCAAGCAACAGTGCATTCCTCACTGGTGGCGCTGGCTTGGTTTGCTTGGCATTCAATACCTGAAAAACCAATTTCACGTAACCAATTAGAATTTACCAAAATCAAAAGAAAAATAATCATAAATCGAATGAAAGAATAAAAGAACTTGAAAAATAAACTCAAGATAGAAAGACCCACAGAGATCCATGATGTGATTCTTGCAAATCGCACAATTATCCACAACAATATCTGTATCAATCAAACAAATCAACATTAAAAAAGTAAATTGATTTTAAAATATAAAAAAAAGCAAAAAAAGGAAGTAAATTAGGGTTAGGGATTGGTACCCAAGCACAGAGGACAACAACGCTCCACTTTTTAATCTCAAAGCGTTTGGGCTTCTTAGTGGAGGAGGAAGCGTGAAATTATGCCTTAGAAAACTGCCCCTTAACATGCTGCCCTGGGCCGTCGCCCATGTGGCACATGTATTGGGCCGGCCCTGACATCATCCTTACATGGGACCAAAACCAGGCCATACCAAACCCAAACATATGTCAATTTACACCTAACAATAACTAGAAATGATGGAATCGTTTCACAATTAGTAACAATTGAAGTTGAAATTATTTAATTTAGAAAGTAAGGGGACTAAATTTTAAAAAGTTAATTTAATTATTTAATTAGTAACATATGAAAAGTACACGAACTTTAGTACATATTTTAATCTAAATAAGCATAACAAAGTCTTTATGATAATATTAAATAATTTAAAAATAATAATTTTAGAAGGGATATAAATTTACTCATTCTTTTCAATATACATTTTCACATTTGAGTTGCTATTTTTCGTTTACCCCCCCCCCCCCTTTCTTTATATAAAAAGAAAAAAAATCTATATATAAAAAAGAAAAAAAGAAGCTACACCTAAAAATCGGTGTGAATGCAGCCGTGCACTACACCCAACCTTTTTCTTTTAAAGCAGCAATAAGCAAAAACCGTTAATGGGCCCCGCACTGACCGTTGGTGTTTTGACGTCTTAACAGAAAAACATGCCTTTCAAAAAATCCCAAAATTATCTGTTTTTCTTCCTCCTCTGGCCCTAAACCCTAGCCCTAACCCTAATTTCCAATTCCCATCTCGACCTCTTTCTATTCACCATCTTTCATTTTTGGCGCTTCAATGTGTGGCTTTGATCTATAACCATGGCATGCGTAACTTATTTTTTCTCTTGTATAATCTACCAGATGCACACGATTAACCGTAATCACCTATGTTTTATATGATTTGATGGTTGCATTTTTATGAACGAATTAATTTCTGGATTCTGAGCGGTGGATCGATTTTACGGGGGGGGGAGAGAATTTTTTATTGGGTGGTGATAATGTCAAGCATCCGCGGTGGGGATTTCAATCAAAAGATTGATTATGTATTCAAAGTGGTTTTGATTGGGGATTCAGCGGTTGGGAAATCTCAGCTGCTTTCGCGTTTCTCCCGGAACCAATTCAGTTTGGATTCGAAAGCCACAATTGGCGCTGAATTCCAGCCTAAAACCCTTGAGATTGATAACAAAACTGTTAAAGCCCAAATTTGGGATACTGCTGGCCAAGAAAGGTTACATTTTACTTGTATATGCCTGAAATTTTCAATTAGTTGATATGCAAAAAAAAAAAAAAGATTTGAGGAAATGAAATAATTTAGAGTAGTACTTGTAGTAGGCAAATGATATGCATTGGAAATGATTCCAAAATGAAATTAAAGAAACCAGAATCTGATAAGAAAGTTATCATATTTTTTACGTTTGTCAATGATGACATGTAAAATCATAGTTGCCTGTCTTATGGTTAAATTTTGGAGATGATGATGCATTGGTTGCTTAAAGATTACTTAGTTGAACCCAAGGGATTTGGTGGGTCGAGATTTTCTAATTTGGTTAATGTGAGGCAGATCTTTTCAATTCAATTAGTGACACTAAAAGGCTGTTCAAAGTGGAAGGCAATGCCATGGTCATAGCAGTTGAGCTGCTTGGCCAGGCAAATACATCTAGGAATGGGTTTTAACGGTATTCAGGGAAAAATTCTTAGTCCTCCAATGAAGACTTCAAAATTTTGGTGTTGTTGAAGATACATACTCATTTTCTACCGGTTACATATTCTGAAATATTTCAAATTAGAAGATATATTTCTGACGCTGTAAAGCAGTGTCATGTAATTTATGCTATTAATAGTATGTTTGTCTTTTCATTTGTGATGGAATTGTATTAGAGTTGTCTCGAATGCTAGGCTCGAGTATTTTCCGACTTAATATCAGATTGTTTAGAACTTTATGCTGGGCTGAATTTGTGCTGAAAGTAAACGACAATTGATGGTAGATATTGAACATTTGGACATGAAAAACTCAGGTGACAGAAAAACTGCACTAGATGATGTAGGAGAGAATTATTGTTTAGCAAAGTTTCATGAATCTAATCAAATAATCTTTACTCAAGCAGATTAATGCTTATGGAACCTTGTTTTGTTGCATCAAACAACGGCATTTTGTTTCCTTCATGCTGTATGGTATGGCGAAAGTGATCCTTCTATTGTTCTCCTATCAGGTACAGGGCGGTGACTATTGCATACTACCGAGGGGCTGTAGGAGCAATGTTAGTTTACGATATGACCAAGCGTCACTCATTCGACAATATGGCTACGTGGCTAGAGGAATTGAGGGGACATGCGGATAAGAACATCGTTGTAATGCTCATCGGCAACAAGTGTGACTTGGGGAACCTAAGAGCAGTTCCAAGGGAAGATGCACAAGAGTTTGCTCAAAGAGAGAACCTGTTCTTCATGGAGACATCAGCTCTAGAATCGACCAATGTTGAAACAGCATTTCTGACAATTTTAACAGAGATATACCGAATAATCAGCAAGAAAACCCTTTCTGCTAATGATGAGTCAGACACCAATGGCGGTGCCGGTCTTCTTAGGGGAACCCGGATTATTGTTCCCAATCAAGAGCCGCAAACCCAAAAGCAAGGCGGCTGCTGTGGTGGATCATCCTAATTCTAATAACTTACCATTGTTTTTCTTTCCTTTTTGGCTAAACTTTCTTTTGATATAATTTTGCCAAGCTTTTTTTATTTGTTAATTTAGGATTTATTTGTTGTGTAATTATTATAAAAAAGTACATCCAGATTTCATAGGTAAAGGTTGTTAATTAATAGTCTCGGTTGACAGTACGAGTCCTTGATCAATTGATATTTAATTATTTTATTTCTTCCTCTGGCCTTCTTTATCTTGCATGATCGAACCAAGTTTCAATTTCATGAAATTTTATTGATAAAGTTTCGAATTTATATGATTTTTTTTATTTCAATTGAGAAAGTCATGATAATGGAGGACCAATAACGAGCAAATCTGAGCAAGAAAATTATCAACTCAACGCCCTATTGGCCAATAATTAAATGTTAGATCAGTTAGGAAATCCAAAACACCCTAATATATAAATTCAATCAAAATAAAAATTGAAAAGATAACCAGAACAAGCTCCAATCAGATTTGCACAAAACACAAAAAAAATGGAAATTTGGGGTTCTTGCATATCAAAAGTTGGTATAAAAAAAACAAAAGATGGTTTCCGTATAGACAACACCGATATTACGATATGACCACTAATACTCAAAGCCAAAGAACAGCAAAGTAAAACAGTTAAGCTAAATGCAAGTTACTTCTAGAAGGCAAGTTCATGAGGCTTCATGCCAGACTTCAAGGAAAATCTTGCAGCAAGGTAGGCTTTCAAATCCGGGACTCCCTCGATGGACTTTATTAAAGAGGCGTCAACAGCTTTCTGGTTTTCTTTCTTGTTTTCTGACAGCTTCTTCTTATCCTATATAATATGTTGAGGAAAAATAAAGCATCTCAAAATAGATTAGCTTATTCAGGACAAGCTTAAATTACACTGAATGCTAACCTCTTTTTCAGCTTCGAAGAACTCTCCCTCACCCTTCTTTTTCTTCTTCTCAACTTCCTTGACAAAGTACTTGTCATCAAACTTCTCTACGTTAACTCCAGAGATGTCAAGCTTGGTAGAAGTTGCAATAACATAGGATTGGTTTACCCGCCTTAGAGGAGCACCATTGATCTTGAATGGTCCTACAGTGAAACATGATCCAAATATAAGAAAAAGCATGAGAGAATCAAATAAAAAGAGCCACTAGTTTACTAGAAACAACAAACGTGTATCAATAACCAAGCCTCCGTATAAGATCCACAAGAGGCACACGTAGACAGTATCTACAAATGGCACCCGAGTAAATCTTGATCATGATCCATGATCGCAGGGCTTAAACACATGCATGTTGAATGGTTAAATGGATTGTATCATTACAGGATTCAACATATAAGCAGATGTGGAACAAAAGCAAAAGCACAGCATTTTGCTTGAGAAAAACACAGATATATCAGTTCAAACAGCCACAGTCTAATCAATTAATTTCCATAATTTATTACTTTAGAATGATTTGCAACTGTCTTTGATCGAAGTGCTCCATTTTTCAGTTAAAATTGAACTAACCAACCAAAATTAATTCAGCTAGGTTAATAAAAAATTCAGTCAAGTCAACCATTAACATTTTATTTAAGTTAAATTAGCTGATCTTCGGTTTGGTTACGGAAAGATTTACCAATCGAACACTACTAGAAATTTAGAATCACAGTGGCAGTTACTGGTTTCATTTCTTCAAGATAGTTTCCAAAAATGTGTTCAGCTAAGAAACAAAACATAGGCATATGTATTAATGTATGCATATACATTTAAAGAAACAGAAGTGAGGAAGAAGAAAAAAATACCAGTGACCAAAAGAAGCCCAGAAGGAAGCTGCTTCAAAAATACAACTCTCTTCCCCATAAATCTACCAGCCAACAAAATCAACACCGTACCAGGAGTAATGCTTGCTCTAAACAAATAAAACAAAGAAGGGCAAAATCTAACAATGAGAAACAAGCAACCTTAAGAGAGATCTACAAATGAATAAATCATTTCATATAAGAACCTGAGCTTGGTGGGTTTAGGCTTGCGCTTATTTAGAAGAGGCTTCTTGACATCGTCAGCTGGGTAAAACCTGGGCGGCTACTCGGCGGCAGCTGGGGCCCTAGGCTGGGGATCATGGCAGGGGAAAACGCCGCCGTGTTTGGCCTTGATGGCCCAAAGGCCACGCTTGTGGTACATTTGAGACCTGGAATACTTGCCTACACCACGAATGAGATCTGGGTTTCGGGACTTGACGGGGCTCTTCCTTTTGGCCGCCATTTCTTCTCTAAACCCTTTCTGCTCTTCGGTGAGGCGTTTGAAACTGTGAATTTGAGTGGAAATGATTAGGGTTTTTATGGAGAATGAAATTGAAGTGACTTGGAGGTAAGGGTTTGGGGTTATGAATAAATTGATGAAACGATCCAATCCAATCCGAAATTATTGCCCACTTAAGAACCAAGAAAAACTATGGGCCAAACATTTTTTTCGGTGACATAGCAAGCGTGAAAAAAGAAAACATAACTGGGGCTGCCGGATTCGAGCCCAGGTCTCCACGGCCACAACGTGGATCTCTCACCACCAAACTACAACCATTGCTGATCCATTTGTAGATTTTTTTTTATATTTAACAGCTTTTAATCTAGGTTTTCCCACTTCTAGGTAGCATAACAGTATTTGTAATTCGTGAAAAATATATATAGTCGTACTTTAAGTTGGAAAATATATGAAGTAAAATAATTAAAAGACGGTTTAAAGTAAAATAGAATGAATAGTCTTGTTATTTATGGCTTGATTCAATGATAAATTTAATGTCTTGATATTTTTATTTTGAGTTTTATTGTTAAATTATTTGGATATATTTTTATTATTAAATAACTTGTATTTTATAATAGTTATTTGGATATGTATAATTTATATTGATAATTATAATCATATTTATAATTTTAAAAAATAATAAATAATCTTTTGTATGAATTATATATGAATCAATTTAATATATAAGGCGATATATTAAATTTAATTTGATATTTTAATTTAAATTTAAATTATTGAGAAATTATTATTTTATTTAATTTTTACAAAAATAATAATACAATTTTATCAATTAAGTTATTTATATAATAGCAAAGATTTATATTGATTGAAGTCAATGATATCATTTAAATTTAAAATAGTATTAATATATTTGATAATAATGAATATACTTTATCATTATTATATGATATTTAATTATTTAAAATCATCCTTATTTAAAATTTATTGAATGATTTTAGTGATATGAAAAAAATATTTTTTTTAAAGATTTAAGTTCAAGCAATTATATTTGTAGTATGTACATAAATTGTTTATAAATCAAATTATTAACATATATTATCTTACCTTCAATGTAATATTTTAGTTTTATTTTTGTTCGAATCTTTATAATGAAGTTGTGTTGTTTTTATTATATTTTATCTTTTTTTCTAAAAAAGATTTACAGCGTAACAAAAGCTAAACCATGTACTTTACCGGTTAAGATGGCTAATAATGAAAAAATTAGTCAGCGTGTACTTTAAATATTTATTCCAGTATATAATCATATAGTGCATTACAACAATTAGTATCCACCCCTCAAAGAAAAGAAAAAAGTATATAACGTTAAATTACAACCAATTAAATCAAGCCACGTAACCAGCTTCAGTATACCCTGACCTCACCGAATGACCCTCTCTTCCCCTACTACAACACCCTGTTTTCCGCCGAGATCGCAAAAACTCTATTTTTTTTTTCATTTCAAGCAAACAAAAAAAGGCTATCTTAAATCAAAGCGATGGCCGACCCCATCGAGCCATCAACGTCATCGGGCGACACGGATCCGAATCCAATACCGATAGCTATCATACATCCGCGACGCGAGCCTTTCGAGCACGGTCTCCTACCAATCCAGAAGCTCATATTCAACGACCCGGTTGAAGCAATAACCCCTCTTAAGCAAAAGCTTTCATCGTCCTCAACTCAACGAGTCGACTCGGATGCCGTTGCCGAGTTGCTCCAGATCTCATCGGAACATGCGCGTCTAGTCATCGAAACTCTTGCGTCGGTTCTTCATTCTGAAACCGACCCGCTCGTGGCCGCCCGCCCTGATGATGTCGACGCCGTTGGTGCCGATTTTCGTGATCTGATCCTGTTTTTGTACATACAATCGTATAAGAGGCTTTTGCCGCGCTCACACAAGGACTCCGCCGCGGTTGCGGATGTCTGGCCTTCCACGTCTGCCTTTGATGGTTACTTGTCGGCCCTTTCGCCTTTGCAGGTAAGAAATTTGACCCTACGTCATTTCTGTTTTTTCAAGGGTGAAACTTGGTTTTTTTAATTGGATACGTAGTTGTTGAAACATATGTAGTTATTGATTTAATATCAATGTTATTTTATACAATGTGGTAGATTCATGGCCATTTTGGAAAATTCACAATAACAAAAAATTGACTCTTGGTTGGCATTTGGGAAAGAGCTAGTTGTGGTTCCATATTTTGGCAATTGGCAACCTGAAGTTTTGAATCTTTTGGATAATTGACGCTATGTCTGGTGCATAGTACTTGTGTTTTGGGTGCAAATACTATGCAAAAAGTCTTTTAATATACTAAAGCATTAATTTAATTTTTTTTATGCCAACATTGCATGATTATAGTTTATACTTAATAATTATGTTTAAGTATGTTTTACATTTTATGTATTTATTTTGATAAAATAGGATTTTGCTTTATTTTTTGGATATGATCTATGTTTTTGTTAGTTCTTAAAAATGCATATAAAGAAATAAACATCATTTTATCCATCGGTGTTGTCTTTTAGCTCAATTCAAAATAGCAGCCAAGGAGACCACTAGAGGGGGGTCAAAAGTAATAACTAAAAGGTAGCACAGGCTTAAAATTATAGTGCTCCATGTGTTTGGTTATACTATTTGTTTCTTTTTTTTAGTTATACATGCGAGGCATTTCAGCATTTATAAGCTTAAGAAGTTGGGATGGGTTCTGGACACACAAATAAATCATTAATTTAACCACACCCAAAAAGACCATTATAAGAAAAAGGAAAACAACAAAACTAATAACTGTGAGGGAGCATAAGTTTAAAGTTATAGTCCTCACCATGTTT